TTTTAATCCGTACTATGTCGTTAACGTAAGTTTCTCATTTCTTTTGGTCGTTTCCAGATCGACACAAGAGTGCGATACTTCATTTCATACATATCATAATTTCATGCATTTCATCATTTCATACAATTCATCATTTCACGCATTTCATACATATCATAATTTCATGCATTTCATCATTTCATACAATTCATCATTTCATGCATTTCGTCATTTCATACAATTTATCTTTTCATCATTTCATACATATCATCATTTCATGCATTTCATACAATTCATCATTTCATACAATCCTCCACAAAGTGTGTTTGTATCGAACATGTAAGTGTGATAGCGGAAAGACTTTTCCCTGCTGTGAAAAATCACATATTAAGATGAGAATTTCGGTTTTTTGACACCGTTTTGTTGATGTCGTATTAAATAAATTTATGCGTATTTCTTACCATTCGGAAAATGACTGAAATGTTGAAATTCTACCAATCAAACAATGAAATGTTAGAGTTTATGAAAAGATGAAATGTATGAGATGATGAAATGTACGAAAAGATGAAATGTTGAAATGTATGAAAAAAGGAAATGTATGAAATGATGAGATGTATGAAACGGTGAAAAATAAGAAATGCATCTGGGTTATTGTTAAATAGTCTAACTTCCACGTTTAACTCTTTCTCAGTTTCTTATACTTTACACAGATACCTTTTATCGTACACCATACACGGATATTCTGACAGCTCTGCACCGTATCACTAAAAACGGAAGCAAAACAACCCCTCTTTGACTTTGTTGACATCCTCAAAAAACTTGACTCTAAAGATCCGCACATAAGACTAACCTACGAAGCCGAAGACTCAGTTGACTATTTGGACGTGACAGTTCTTAAAAATCCCCCGAATAACCGTTTCCGCACGACCGTTTTCCGAAAACCCGCCGCCCAACCATACATCTTACCTTTCGACTCCGCACATCCTATCCATATAAAACAAAATATACCCTATGCTGCAATTCTCGAGCGCTACGCATCTGTTCACACTCTGAAGTCTGCAAAACAGAGGTATTCAATATTTGAATTAAACTCCTACTCAATGGTTACCCATCCAAATTCATAGACGCCCATTTGGACCGCTTTGTCAAAGATATCCGCTTACGTAACCTTGACTCTCTTTTCGAGAACCAAAGCAAATACGATTACTGCCATACTAACGTTAGAGACTTAAACTGGACGAGTAGCCGACTACCACGCAAACAAATTAATCCGCAAAAAGAGTTCCTTATCCATTTTTCTGTGCACAGATATAAAACTAGAAATGGAGAAAAGAACGAATTTTATCATTTTAAAAAAAATGATGAAAAGAAGGATTGCACTCGCTATGAAATTAGTGTTTATTCTGGCAACGTCCCAGATTAAAAAGTTAACAAATTTGAAAATACCTTCTCCAGTTTTTCTGCCAGTTTGAAGTACTAATTAAAAGTAAGTAATTAAAAAGTTAATAAGAATATTAAATGATGAATAACAACTACTATTCATCATTGTATAACGAAACATTCATGTCTATATAATCCACGCACTAGTTCAGTTAGATGAAACTTTGATGTTTTCTTCTTTTTATACATGCTATAGAATAGAGACACAGACATAAAGCAAGAAATGGAAATAAAGAATAAATTTTATCGTTTATCTAAAAAAAAGTTTCCCTCACTATGAAATTAGTGTATATTCTGGCAACTTCCCAAATAAAAAAGTTAACAAATTTGAAAGTACCTTTCTCCAGTTTTTCTGCCAGTTTGAAGTACACAACTTGTACTCTATGCCAAGCTATTTTTTGGAAAAAGGTCTATTTTAGTTTTTAAGATATAGAGATCTCAATGTTACAGATTAAAGTTAGTAAAATGTATGAATTCCACTTCAATTTTAGAAATTGCATAATTGGGAATGACCAACCTAACTTTCTTGCTGCTTTTTCGGAACATGATAGTCAGCAGCATACTTTTTCATACGTTCATCTATGATATTGGCAGCCTTATAACAAAAAAACTAAACGGTACCTTTTTCTAAAAAATAGCATGATATAGAGTAAAAGTTGTGTACTACAAACTGTCAGATAACCTGGAGAGCGGTACCTCCAAATTTGTTAACTTATTAGTCTGAGAAATTGGCAGAATATACACTAATTTCATAGTGAAGAAAATCTTTCTTTTGGACAAAATTATAAAATTTATTCTTTTCTCCATTTCTTGCTTTATATTACTCTCTATAGTGTACATAGAAAGAAAAAAACATCAAAGCAAAGAAAAATGACAATTACGGCCACATTTTAGCATGTTCTGAAGAGCCGAACTGCTATCACTGTTCTATCTGAGTCTAACATTTGAATAGACAACGTATTATGATCTGTTAAATCTAAATCATTTTTTATTAAAGATCTCGTAACAGAAAAGATATCACATTTAGAAGCAATCGAAAGGCAAACATCATACAATAACTTCTGCAACGTCTCCGATATCTTGCAACGATTTCAGAGCAAATTTCTTATTGCTAGATTTTTATAAACGTGTAAATGTTTGTTGCGTGTAAATAATATAACGTGTAAGTAAACGTGTAGTATGTTTGTTAAAATACTTCGCTACTGTCTTTGTACAACTGTCCATCGGATATTTTCGCATCTTTAATGTACATTAAATAAAATGAAACAATCAAATGCATGACAATAGATTGAAATTATTATACATTATAATGCATGTAACCATAAACACTACGTAAACAGTATGAAAAACTAAGATAGTATAATTCACTGAAGACTCAATTTTGTATATTAAGACGTTCTAATGCATTATTTGTACATTAGAAAGATCTTTAAGTTACGAAAAATAGTTTCTTAATGCGTCGTTAATTTGCTAACAGACTAAAGTGTCTTATACGTGTCAGAAATGTTTAACGAGGGGTGTTGCTAGCTCCCAAAAGGTCGATTACTTTAGTAAAAATAATGTTGATTTTAAGGATGAATTCTTACAAGATTCAAAGTGGCTAATGAAAAAGTATATAGAATCACAGTCGTAAAAACATCGTAAGGCAATGGGTTATTCGGTACACCAAAACTATTTTTTTGACAAGAATAAACGAATAAATGCACCAAAGACTGTATCGGGTCAAATACTCGATGGGAATAAGTTCTAAGAAAATAATTCTTTATAGAAAAATTCAGACGTAAGCTTAAATTTTTGCTGAAAAATGTATGAAAAGCGCAATTCTTCCGCACACCCCGAATGAAACTCGAAACTTTTCTATTTGATCCAAATTCAATTAGATCCAGTCTAATTCAGTCTCTGAGGTATAATCATTTAGTAGACTGCAATAGTAGTTCTATAATAGTTTTAGTAGACATTTCTATGACAAATAAATTACTTTTATACATTAATTTGTATAAAAAAATATTACGTCTATCTCGCTCTCGACATCCTTAGTGTATGATCCCTTTCTCACATCCTTGTCCTAGCACAGGTACAGTCAGTTTCATATCAAGTAAATAAATATAAACATCTTGTTTATCAAGTGGTTGAATTGTCAATAAGCAATCAATATTCGATAATGTGTTTGATAAATTAGATGACACGATATACCCACATTTCACTGCTTCTTCATTTGTTGGCTGTATAAACACATCACCACATATATTGTATTCTTGGATTTTAGGAGCAGTATTTGGCATACATATGTAATCCATATGTAAATACGTCGATTGACAATTGTGACATGATGTCAATATTTTATCAAAATAAAATATTAGACACGACTTTTTCTCAGCACAAATTGTAGTGATTGTGGAATTGTCATTCCGAAAACAATCAGCTGGATCATATAAACATTTAGCAATTGAATTATTTTTGACTCCATAAACAACTGTACGAATAACAATTACGTAGTCCGACGGACATATCAATTGTCGTGATTTTCCCGTACAAATATCACTTAACGTCGATAGTGTCACGCCTAAATCACAATAGCCCCATTGTTGATCTTGGTCAAAACTAGAGGTCAATGAACACCAAGGATCAGTCGATAGATCGGTTATGGTTGTTGGCGATTTATCAGTTTTAATGCGACTACTTATCAGATTAGCCTGATAAATAAATGGAAATATACAATATTGTCGAGTGTCATTAGTCGTGCCACCATGTGTCGAAACTACATATAAAAGGAATAAGAATGGTTAGCAAAACTACGGTAGTTTGCCAAAAAGAATTTAAATGTTGCTCTAAATATGCTTCCTCATCTTTGTGTTTCTTTCAATTGTTTTAAGTGCTTGTTGTGATGGTCCACAAAGAGTACTATATAGCAAGATATTTTCAGATGTTATTCGTTTATCTTTAGAGGAAATGCATAGCTATCCGAATATTTATATAAGGTGTAAGATGAATATAAATCAATGATGTAGTGCATTATCCTAATTGCAAGTAATAAATAAAAATTCACTCTACAGTACTCTAATAAAATTTAACAACAAACACACAGTAAAAAAAGTTCACATTTACTGATCAAACTGAATCTAAAACTTCAATGATGAACTCCTGAATCTGCATTTCCTCATAGTTACACGACTGAAATACAAGCAGAAAAACAATACTGTTATAGTAGGTGAAAGACTAAATTTACACTAAGCATCTGGTCAAACTTTTTGTTTTTCCATTAGTTAGAGTTTCAGCGGTTGAAAAATCCATGGCAAAAGTTGAAATGGATGAGATATATGAAAAGATGAAAATAGAAAATGTATAATAAGCGTTTGTAGAGAATGTAGCATTGTTAATCCTCTTTATTATATTACAGTCAATATTCATAAGGCCTTACTCGGATATTCCGACAACTCTCAAGAAATAGCATGAAACACCTTCTTTTTACAGAACAACTACATCAACATTAATATTTTTCCATTCGACATTCAAAAATTATTTGAATTTATATTAATGTTTCTTGATTTTCTGTTATCAACACGATGCTTGACGACCGACTAAACGTTTTCAATTAAAGGACAAGTGGCAGAATGTAAGGTTTGACAAGAGTAGGTGGCGCCGCGACAACAGCGACTTCTTAGCACGAGTTGCGCGATTTTAGCGAAGGTCGCGTTCGCGATGTGAGCGAAGCAAGAAAGTGAACTTGGACTGTTTTAAAGGACAAGTGGCAGAATGTAAGGTTTCGTGCCCAAAAAATTACGCAATGAGTCATACATATTCGGAATCAGCGTCGAATTCTGAGTAAAACTGTATTCTCAGATCGTTCAAATTCGCGAAAA